GAATATTTTAAACTGATACTAATTAATTTGGCGATAGTAAATTATAAAATTATGACGGTAATATAGGAATTAATACGATATATGTGAACTTTAAAAAATGGTAAACCCTATTAAAATATCTTTATTGAGAATTTCAGAAACATTCTATTATTAATATACAGTAAAACCTGTGAGTACAGTAAATATTCAAAATTTTCATAAATTCTTGCATATAACAAATAACATTGTACAATATATTACAGAAAAAAAAACGCACTTAAAAAATACGTTAAAGATTTACGAAATACATGAGAAGGTGCATTCAACTAAAATAAACAATTAAATTACACATTTTAAAAATATTTAATTTCTCATTGTACATATGGAGAAATTTTTAAAGTGCACATACATAATTCACTGCTACTCGTGTTAATCCAAAACGCGTTGGAATTGGTTGGATTTCATACAGCGCATAAAAAAAATCGCATAAAAAAGGACCAAACAAAAACAGATTCTACTGTATAAGAGTTTAGTAATATTTAAGTAATTACAGTTATCATAAACTTTCTTATAATAATTAATATAATTTATAAAATTACGTTAGAAATGACAGAGTTGTAAGTTTATCTCTTGGCTCTCCCTGAATATAAAAAATATGTTTAATACACAATTTAGACACGTTTCTGTTAATTTTATGTATCCAGTGAACAAATTTCGGACAATAATGCACTCAAATACATTTATTGAAATATATTTTTTGGTGGTACATTTTTACATGTGTAAGGACTAACATAATACGAGGGGTCTAACAAAAGTTCGCTAAGTTGGCATTAATTCATTTGTCTCATTTCAAGTCAAATTTCAAGATATAAATCTCTTTCGGCCCTATTTATACCCCTTTCGGGTTTAACAGCCCCCACAATTTTTGTTGGTTTCTTGGAATCGAACCAACGACCTTTCGTATCAGATTTTCGTGATACAGACGACTATAGCCACACGGCTACGGTCGCTCCAAATTTCAAGAAGATCGGTAAAATTGGATAGGAGAAAATGCAAGATTAGTGATGTAAGGTTGGTAGAAATTCCACCACCAATACAGCAAAAATGTGTTTTGCCATTTTCAAGTCTATGCATATTTTCCAGCAATTCCAAAATGCATATGGAGTGAATGCATCATCCCTTGTGACTATTTCCAAGTGGTTTTAAAGATTTCAGACAAGAAATTTTTCTGTGGAGGACGAACTTCGTGAAGGTTGCGCGAAATCTTCGACCGATGATACAAATCTAGCCCTGGTGAAGGCAAAAAATTAGTAGTAGCAAATAGTAGTTGATGAACTGGGCTTCAATGCCATGGCCTTATTGCAAATATTAAATCATCACTTTGGTTGCACGAAGAAATCCGATCGATGGGTTCTATTTTTAAATGACGACCAAATATTTCTGGGAAAATGTTGAAAAAGTTAAAAAAATGCAGTAAAGAGTCTTCAGTTCCAATGAGATCATTAATTAAAAGTTGAAAAGCTCCAAAAAGACGATTTGAGGAATATTTTAAAAGGTGGCTCTACTGACAAGAAATGTATTGAAATAAATTATGTTGGGAAATTTCAAAAGGATGAAAATTAAAAATATTAAAATTAAATTTGTTATTATTTTGTTTTGGAAAAATCCAGCCAACTTAGCGAACTTTTGTTAGACTCCGCATATGTCTGAACTGTCAATAAAATTAAATTGAATATTTGAAATAAAACGTGCATCATAATAAGGCTTATTTTTTGTAACCAAAATAATTTAAGATTTCCAGTTTTTTTTAGTGCATTTTTTAGATATCGGTGAAAATATGTGCCTGGCGCATCCACCATCAATATAAATATATTATGTTTTTTTATGACTGTTTTTCAATAAAGTCTTTAAAGTTGTAAAGTGTCAACATAAACCAATAACATATTTGATAAAAAAATATAAGGATGTGAAAAAGTTCAAATTTCAAAAACTTACCATTACTTACCTTCCAGGGTAAAGGGAAAGGAACTTGACTATTTAAATAGAAAAAAAAACGATAATTTTAACATATCTATTTTTTTTAATATTTTAATTTTGTTTAATTACAATTCAGTTTGTCTTAGAATTTTGAAACCGGACTATATCCACACTATATTGCTGTATATTAAGATAAATGAATGAAATGGGAAGTAAGGAATAAAACTAATAAATATTTTCGAAATTTTCTTTATTTAATTACTTCATTTAAATATTATAAACACACATCTAAAATCTAAATTGAAACCTAATCGATATAAACTTAAAATTAATTACATTGGAATGTTTAATATTTTTCATCAAAAAAAAAGTTACATATACATATTATATTATTATACAATACAATTTTAATTTATTTTTTGCATTAGCAAACACATTAACATGATAGATATTTTATACAAATACATAATTATTTAAAAGATACACATATAATTTGTACAATACAAGATTTTTACATTTTGACTACTCACTAAATTCTACTGTAGACTTGAGATCATAAAGTTTACCATCAGCGTTTCCCAAATTGAGTGAACGCTGTATGGCAATAACCAATTTATATATTTGTCTACAGGCACTACATTTCTGACTAGAAATACACTCGTCAATTGTGTTCGAAACAATTGTTGCGTCCGACTAATGGACTTTAATAGACTACACTTAAAACTTACGTAATATACATATATCACAATTTATACACCGTCAAATTACATAATTTTGGATGACTAGCCTTCAATGAATTTCCATACATAAAATCTATATTATATAAGAAATAAAATGGCAAAATAAATACTGACACATTGTTCCACGTTTGATAATGATCAAACTAAAAAATTGTAATAAATAAATAGTTGCTTTTAATTTTTTTTTTTCATAATTTTTTTTTTGTATTTTTATCCAGCAATTTCTCTATTTTATAGTGCAGTTAAAGTTGCCGCTTTAAGCTTATTGCAAACTTCTTCCCTCGCCCGCACATTTTCCTTGTTTTAAACGAAAAAATTGTATAAATGACTAAACTAAACATATAAATCATACAAAGTTAAAATTAAATTTGCATTTTTTGTTTTTGCAATTAAAGTTGATACAGATTTTAGATTATTGGTGCGATGCAAGCAATTTAAAAGGTTTAATAAAAGCCATCGGTCACCATAAACTTAGGAACACGCATGTGAACATGTGAAATGAATTAATTACAAAGTATTTTGATTTTCTTCATTTTCCAACATATAAATTATCCTTACTAATTAATATCACATCATAGTTTACTTATTACTAACATATATAATATTAATATATTTTATAGATTTTTTTGGCCGATTATGCAGCTTTTTTTTTATATGTAGATGTATGTTTTATTTATATATATTAAATTTAATAATTACATTGACAATTAGATATTCATTATTTACAATATATGGCACATCTTTATACACTTTCACGAAAACCCCTACGACTTTTGCTTCTTAAACTAAATAAAATATTCTGAATTGGCTGTTTTTAAAACTAGATGACTCTTCAATACTGACTGGTTTGTATTTGAAGCCAAACAATTGTTACTAGACAAATGTAATAGACTAAATTATAAGTGGAATGTAAGTATGGCCGTTAGTTATATTTTTAATTTAAATATAAATCAAGTTAAAATCTTTAATTATATATATTTTATTATTTGTATCATTTGACTGGTTTGTTTTTTAGTATTATTTAGAATAATTCTCAAGTTACGAAATTTCTTAAAACTACTTTTGTTTGTTTTTTACTCAGATTTTTTTTTTAATAAAAAGAGATCAATCGCTCCAGACAAATAATTTGAAATTTATTTTTTGTTTCTTTTTTAAATCACAAATTAATAAAAAAAAAGTAGAGTGTTTTCTTATTTTTCATAGAGTTCATATATAATTCATAAATCTTAAATATATCTTTTTTACTACGTTTATATTTTTGTTTTTTTTTTATATGACTAGAATATAGATTTGACTAGAAAGTGTATTTATGTAATATAATGGATTACTTGACTAGACATTTTTGTGACTCAAATATATTAATGTGACTAGATATATATAAAATTAGACTAGATTTGTTTTCTGCTTATAATTAAATGAAATTGAATTTCCGACTAGATTTATGTAAGGTTTGACTAGATTTTATTTCTGACTATATCTATTAAATCTGACTAGATTTGATTGAGTAGATAAAATCTGACTATATTTTGTTTCTAACTAGATATATAAAATCTGACTAGATTTGATTTCTGACTAGATAAATAATATCTGAATAGATTTTATTTCTGACTAGATAAATAAAAATCTGGCTGTATTTGATTGAATAGATATATAATTTGACTTAATTATGTTTCTGACTAGATATATAAAATCTGACTAGATTTAATTTCTGACTAGATAAATAATATCTGACTAAATATGAATAGATTAAAATCTTGCTTGACTAGAGATTTTTGTTTCGGTTTGTGTTGATATTTATGACTAGTATTTTTGTAAATTCTTTTTGGAGTGTTGACTAGTATAATTTTGATTATTTTATCTTAATTATATTTTGACTAGATTTCAATTTTTAAATGACTAGATAAATACAATTGTTTTGAAAATATCTGACTAGAGGAATGCGATAAATTTTCAAAACTATTTGTTTTGACTAGACAATATTAGTAATTCTATTTTTGACTAGATGTACTTATTTGTTTCTTAATGACTAGATTATTCGACTATGGATTATTTTGCCTGACTTAAGCATTTTTATATGACTAGATGTTAAATGATTCTTTAATATTATCTGACTAGATAAACATTGAGTTATGAAAACAACTCGTTATGACTAGGTTTCTATACTTATTTATGCTGTTGACTAGATTTGTTTTTTTTTTGAATAGTTAAGAAACTTCCGACTAGAGATTATTCTTAATACTTTGACTAAATGACTAGATACATTTTTTTTACATTTATATGTTTATATGATATGACTTCTTCGGGTAAATTTGTTATACTTATATTGGTATATATTATTTTTGGTTTGCGTATTTAAAAAGCTAAATATTTGACTAGAATATTATAAGCTTGACTAGTTTGTTGGATATGTTAATTAAAATCTACTTAACCAGCTGATGTCTGGCACGTACCTTTCCGGTGGTGTTGTTGTCGTTGAAGACGGCGGTGGTAAAGGTGGCGGTCGCCAAAGTCTTAGGGGCATTCGAGGTATCGGCCTGACAGGGACAAGCCGCTGTCAGTCAACCTGATGTATAGTCTGGTGCTTCCTCAGGTACGCGATCCTCCGGAACTTCTTGCCGCATTCGCCGCAAGGAAACTGCTCACCGCCTTCACCCTCCGCTACTTCTTCGTTCTTCGGTTCCTTGTTGGGCCTGGGCTTGTGCCATCGCCGATGCGATGCCAGGTTTGCCGGGCAATTGAAGACTTTATCGCATTCCGGACATCGGTACTCCACGTGCACGATCCTCGAACAACGGTGCTGAGCCAAGCCGAAGGCATCTTCGTAAAGCTCCCTGCACAGCCTGCACACGTAATCTCCGATGTGGTTCTCGATCTTCGCCAACTCAGCCTTAGCCTCTTCGGTGACTTCGACCACATTGAAAGCTGGATCTATATCACCTTTGCGGACCACAAGTGTTTCATCCGGCCGAAGCTCTCTGATGATGGTACCGGAAACTGGACTGCTGTTGTCTTCGTCGAAGTTCAGTTTCCGTGTAGCCTTCGCCTTTTTCTGTGAAGTGTTTTGGGTTTTCGGTTTCTTCGTCGGTTGTTCTGGTAATAGCGTTGTCGTTGGAGAGGCGGCAGGTCTCTTGTGGCCCGGAGACGGCGTGCACGGCGGTGTTATCGGCGCTTGGCTTTTCACTGACAAATCCAATGGATAAGACGAGTTGAGTTCCAGGGGTTCCGAATACCGAAGGTATTGGATCTGCTGCTGAAGAACCGCCGTGGAGAGGAGATGATGGGACTCGAAGCCCAACCTCTGAAGCACCGCTGGAGGCTGGGGATAGTGATGATGGTATGTTGGTCTGAATGTTGCGAACTGTTCCATCTCATGATGATGGTATTGCACTCGAGGCATGCCAACACCTCGGCTTGTACCGACCGACTGACACTTCACATTGCTATGCTTTCAAACTAGAAGCAACCCCTATATAAGCCCCAATGGGGTGCGAGACCACACCTCCGCAGGAGTGAGAGCTTGCGCGAGGTGGGGCGGATGCGCGCTCTCCGATTGGCCGTATATTCTGTCCTAGACTCACGATTGGTGCGGGCAGCACTGGAATCAAAGCACATGCTCTCCGATGTTTCGGACCGTAACGGATTTTACACTTTCCTCTATTTGCCGAATCCGGAAAACAATGGATCTAACGGACTGTTGCCGGCTGCTCAGCAACAAATCATTTTTGGGGATTCCGTTACAGATGGTTTATTCCGAACACCCCCGATGGACACTCATTATCAAAATAAGGGGAAGACCGATTTGCGTGTTTGTATGGAAACCTTACCGGATTTTTTTTCGGCATCGTGTGAGACCATTGTTTTGTTGGTTGTTATTTTTTATTTTCACCCCCTCGTGTAATTTTCTTTTGAGTATTTTCATTGCACCCCCTACACATCGCTCGAACGTTTTTCCGTTATTTAATTTCATTACTGCATCATCACTTCCTATCTGAATTCGGTTTATTGTAACATTTTCACGTTCAATTAAAGAAACGCAAATACCGTAAAATTGCATTTATGTATTGATATTGTACTTTTACTAATCCCACATACAAACATTCACATTATATTAGCAAACATTAATAAAAAAACATTAATGTATACAGACATTAATTCCTGTTATTACATAAGAAAATTAGAATCTTTGCAAATTTAGTATGTTTAATAAAAATAGCAAATAGATTCAAATTAAAGACATTTATATACAATAATATAAATAAACGGTGAAAATGTGCACACGATTATATATATATATATACGTTTTTATTTACTATAACTGTTTACAAAACACGCCCGTGTATGTAATACTTTTTTAAACTTCTCAAATATTTAAAAAAAGTTGTTAAATATTTTTGTTTCAGTAGTCATTAAAAAGTAATATGTATAATTGTTTTTTAATTATTTAAATAAAGATAAAAGCCTTCTTAGAAAATCAATTAAATTTAAATTACAAGATAATTTTAATATAAAGAAAAACTATTTAAAAAAAAATAACTGGGTTTCCTTTGAAATTCAATATTAATGTTAACAATATTAATCCATGCTGTATGTTCTTGAAAAAATAAAGATTAAGATTAAGTTAATCCTAGTTACGTCTAAGGTTTTGGTTTTATTATTGAAAGAATCTGGGTGTTCGTCAACAGGTGCTATTGAAATGCACAGGAAAAGTGTTTGCGACAAGACGAGATGATGTATTGAATGAAAAAAAAAGAAAAAGAAATATACATTGAGATAGAGGAAGAGAGAGTGCAAGGTATAGGCGTGGGTCGGGCGTTACCATTCATATACAATGAAGGAGCTGGGGATTTCCTCGACTCATTATATCCAGGTTAAGATATTTCTAAGGGGGTCCTTCTTAAAGGATATGGGCATTAGGCGTTCAATGGCCGGGAACACACACACTTATACATCCAGACGGAGGGGTAGACTTCAAAAGATTTACAGCTTGTTATGTAAGGAAGTCGACGATTGTCACGGCCCGATTAACTCCACCAGACTATTTATCTAAGGTGTTTTTCATTGTTCGCGCCAGAGGTGGTTTTCTTTGATACCAGAACACACGCACAGGTTCACACCTACTTATCAACAAACCTGATAACAATCCAATATAAAACACTGATAGAAATAAAATATTGATTTTTTTTATAATATTTGTTTTATAATCTTAAAATCGTTGCTTTAGATCAGTAGTCTTCAAATTTTGTCGACTCTTAAGATTATATTATTTAGCAGAACCCACATCACCTTTGAAAAAATATTTAAAATATATTTTATTAATGATTTTTTTAATCATTAAGCACATTAATTGTTTTATTTTATTCATTAACAATTAATTAATGTAATATTATTATTTATTGTTTTTTTTTTGTCTTAGTAGATGAACAATATTAAAAAAATGATTTGGATTTTAATTAAGTGCAACAAAATAAGAATATTTTTGTACTTTGAATATTAATTATATTTCTGCATTAAATTAATAATGAATTAACTTCTATTCAATTTATCTCGGATTTCAATAATTATCGTTTTATGTGTCCACAAACGAAATTTGTCACATTGATGATATTATTTGCTTCGTTCATAATTAGTAATTCCAAGTTTCTCATTCATATAACAATTACAACTATGCAATAATTACTCTTTAGTACATAATCATTCTCGTGGATTGATTGATGCCCAACTACAGCGCATTCATACAGCTGAGTGGTAATCATCATTCATATCGATGATCAACAATGTTTAGCACACGTGTCCGTCTCGCGTGCCATGGCAACAGCGTGCATCCCCTTGCAACAGTGTGCAAGCAAAGGGAGTGTTATTAAATAAGGTAAAATAATAAGGATCTGGAAGGAGTCGAAGGACGACGAAGAGGGTGATTTATGGACAGGTATATCCGGCGGGGCGGGGTGCGGTACGGGTCTCCTCCTCAGAGGGTCGCGACGCGTGGCCCTACGCACCCTTTACCTTTCACCCTTGGTACGTACTGCAACAAAAGGAGCGGACAGCTGCAACTCCGATAGACAGACCGGTGTGTTGCTCTTACACTTTTCACCATAGACACAAGAAGGGGGACACCGCATTAAATATACTTTTTTTTATTTATGTATGTGGATCCGGGGTTCCTTGTTTGAAATGCCCCCAGATCAGTGGTCCAGAACAAGTTTTCCACCCCAATTCCGTATTAGAAATCCGAAAACTGAGAGATTCCTTCGCATTTATCATAACTAGTTTCCTGTTTCTACAAGAGGGCAACGATCTGGTTAGAATATATTATCATATATTAATGCGCACAAATAAAACTATTACCAAATGTTATCTACTAAGATCACAAGATCTTAAAATAATATAGAATCTAATAATATGTGTTATTTTAATTGTTTTATATTTATATTTTATTTAAGAATGTCCTAACGTTTTGTGCGTTTAGTAAACAACCGGAATTAGTAACATTACTCGTTACTAATAATGTTTGTCTTTTAACTTAAATTCGAGTCTCTACAGTAAAAAAATACCTAAGAACTAATACAAATTTTCAAATTTTTCAGTTCACGTTAATAAATTAACATCTTGAGGCCCTAAAGCCTCAGATGATAAACGTATTGGTAGTCAAAGTTTAAGGAGCTCTACAATTTTACAATATTTCATTCTATATGTGAGAAACATCGATGTGATTGAGAAAAAGCAACACATTCTATTAAGTATATAAATCTTTTTATCATGACTTCTAAACTATTCCATTTCATTTGGCAGTTAAGAAAATCTTATTTCCTTCCCGATTTTCTGTTTGTTTCATAAAGCTTTAAAAATATTCCCGTTTTATTTCAGAGACAATTTTGTATCAAAATGTTAATATTTTAATTTAATTTTTATATCTCAGAATCAATATCGAAATAAATTATTCTACATTTGGTACCACTGAGGTACATTAGCATAACTATGGTTTTTGTGATCATCTATTTTTTTTTGTTCACCAAGTTCTATGTTCTAGTCGTAGCCCATGCACCCTTATTTGAACAAAGGACTTTTTCATCCTGGTAATAATAAGTCTGTCGTATCTGTTGCTGCAGTGCACTTTTATCTATTCCACTGTGACTTAAACGGGGGTCGACATAATCCTAATACAAATAATGCGGCGGTTCCTTGATTGGAACGGCAAAATCAATGGGCTCTGATAATCTGCAACGATAGTCCGACATAACAGAGACCGGCCTCCGCAATACTCGGAGGGGATATATTTTTTTTGTCTGCAACGTCGTTTCATCATCAACGTCACCTAAATTGCAAATATCTGATGCAAACTCAAAATATATCAGGATTTCCTCGGGATTGTGTATTGTAACGTTATTAGAGTTCTTCCTCTCGATAAAAGGAAGTGGCGCCCTGAACTTTCCCACGTCAGGAACTCACGCCCAAGCCGGCTTGAAGATTTGTATATTTGTATTTTCGTACACGAAGTACCGTCGTGTTATAATATCTAAAGAGAATAAGAAACGATAATAGAAAAAGAGAAAAAGTAAAAGTAGTAAATTATAGAAGAAACTAAAGGGTGTTTGTGAAATAAGTAAACTAAGGATATAGAATAAGTAACAGGACAAAGATAACGGAATAAGTAAAAAAGTAAGAAAAAGGAGTAACTAAAGCGACTAAGTAAAGTGAGAAAGTAACGGAAATAAGTAATAGGAATAAATAAAGAAAGTAAATGCAGTTAGTAAAGTGAGGAAATAAAGGAAATAAGTAAAGCAAGAAAATTACGGGAGAATGTAAATGAAGAAAGTAAAGGTAGTTAATAAAATAATTAAGTAAAGGCAGTAAGTACAAGGAGTAAGTAAAAAGAATAAGCAAAGATAGTAAATAAAGAGTGTAAGTAATGGGAGTAAGTAAGTGCTGCAAGTAAATGATGCAAGTAAAAGAAAGTAAGTGAAGGGACTAAGTAAAGTTAGTAAATAATGTAAGTAAAAGGAGTGAGTAACGGGAATAAATAAAGAGAGTAAGTAAAGGCAGTAACTAAATGTAGAAAGTAACGAGAGAAAAAATAATATATATAGAGAGTAAGTAAAGAGATTAAATTGTAAATAGAGTAAAGTTAAATAATATTGACAAATATTTTAAATTCGTTTGTAATTCTCCACAGTAATGAGTAATGATCCAAGTTTAGTGTACTATAAAAATATAACCATATGACGTATAACAGCTCTAAATTTATTTTTGGTATATGACGCTGTCTGGAAATAGTGATTCAACGTTCTTTTCCATTAGAATCTAAATGAATTCCACTCGTTACAGACATTTTTATATACTATTGAACTACCGTAAAAATACATTTGCAAATAGTAATAATTCAAGTACGTTCATTACGAG